AGAAGAAGAAGAAGAAGAAGAAGAAGAAGAAGAAGAAGAAGAAGAAGAAGAAGAAGAAGAAGAAGAAGAAGAAGAAGAAGAAACAGCAGCAGCAGCAACTGTGGGGTCCTTGGTGCTCTCTGAGCTGGGTGGTTTACTTGCAGATATTTAATTACCCAACTAGATAACACCATCAGTGCTAGAAAGAAGTGAGGTTTGTAGAGGAGGTGGACTGTGGGAAAAAGAAGAAGGGGGAAAAGGAGGGGAAGATGAAGATGACAATGATGAAGGAGAAGGAGAAGAAGAAGAGGAAGGAGAAGGAGGGGAAGAAAAAGGAGAAGGAGGAGGAGGAGAGAGGAAGAAGAATGGAGGAGACGCTTCATGACCCAACTAGGTACCATCATCAAAGGGAAAAGGAGGAGGAGGAGGAAGAGTTTTCTTACAGGCGTTTCATGACCCGACTAGTTAATATTATCAGTGCTAGAAGGGGATGGGGCTTGTGTCGAAGAGGAGAAGGAGAAGAGGAGGGAAGAGGGTGAGGAGAAAGGAGTAGGAAGGGAAGGAAGGAGGAGGAGAAGGAAGGAAGGGGAAGGACTGTGAGGTCCTTCTGGTCCTCTGAACTTGGTTGTATTCTTGCAGACATTTCATGACCCAAGTAGGGAACATGACAGAAGTAGAGGAGGAGGTTAAGTTCTGTGTATATATTGGTGGCTTGCCCTGCCAAGGTTGGTGGGAGGGTCCTTGAGGGTCCCTTGACAAAGCTGTTGCTTATGGTTCAATGGTTCATTTGAACTGGTAGTCCCTCGATCGGGGTATTGTTTACACCTCGGTGTTAATCTCTGCTTATCGGGACCTTGTTTGCTGGTGAGGCGGTTCAACCCTGAGCTACAAATATTATTTTCTCCGGCTGCGAGGTGAGGTTAGTAGAAAGTCTGTGGAGACTCTCCATCCTCTAGGTTCATAGCTGTCCCAAAGGTGCTTTGAGGCAACTGGACTGTCTGCTTTTTTCTTTTAAAGACGTTTCGCTTCTCCTCCAAGAAGCTTCTTCAGCTCTGACCGGATGGTGGGGAAAGGAAGGATTGACACTCCTTGCAGACAGCTGGTCATTTGCCTCCTTTTAGAGAGACGTTGAGGCCACTTGGTCTGTGTCCTCAAGGTCACCTGAGTGGTGCAAAGGAGTTTGGAGCAAAAGGACTGTGCAATTCCAAGAAGGCTGCACATCCCTTTGCGCCACTCAGATGACCCTTAGACAGATAAACCCCCCAAGTGGCCTCAATGACTTTGCTAAAAGGATGCAAATGACCGGCTTTGTCTGCAAGGAAGATAAACCCTTCTACTCCCTACCAGCCAGTCAAGAGTTGAAGAAGCTTCTTGGATGAGAAGCGAAACGTCTTCAAAAAGAAAAAGCTAGCAGAAAGGGGAATTTCACCAGAAAACGCAGAGGGAACTTCAGGCTACCAGGTGTGTAACTAAAGTTAACACGTCAGGCTGAGCGTAATAAGGATGGAAAGTAGCCACATGGAAAGGAAGTCTTCAAACACAGCAAGAGAGGACTGGCAACTTGCTTAAAACAAACGAACAAACAAACAAGAGACAAAGGCAGATATCTTAAGGCACTGAAATTAACCCTCGTTTTCTTGCGGGATACTTACCTACATACCAGACGATCCAACACGAAATATTGTAATAGGAACTTATCAGTTTTCCAGACCTAGGACAAGAGAAAGGCACAGGTTGGCATTCTTATTTCTGTTTTTCAGACTTTCACAATGCCATGAGATAGCCCTTGACTTATGACAACGGAGACCCGAATTTCTGTCGCTAAACAAGGCGGTTATTAAGGGAATTGTGTCAAATTGATGGCCTGTGTTGTTGTTTTTTTTAACCGCCATTACGAAGCACAAATAGCTACAGTTGTTCAGTGAATTAGATGGTCATTCCCTCAAGGATAGAGCCCTAGTTTTGATTATGTGACCTTGGGGATGGCTGGGATAGTCGTAAGTGTGAGGACTGGTGGTAAGTCACCTTTTTTTTTCCCTGGTGTCGTTGTTAACTTCAAACAATAAACGGTTGTTAGCCAAAAAACACAGGTAGTCCTTGACTTACAACCATAATGGAGCCTGCCATTATCAGGGTCGTAAGTCGAGGACTATCTATATTTTCAGACAGTGATAAAACAAATCATGATCGTTCAATGGAACCCACAGCCATTAAGTCATCATGTGACTGCATGTCATAACTTTGGGACAGTCATACACTGAGGATAAAATCTATGAAGAACCGTTGCAGGAATCGAGAATATCTACTTCGTTGAAGAGGAACGTGGGGGCTCAGGGGCGAAGACGCTGAGCTTGCCGATCAGAAAGGTCGGCTGTTCGGCGGTTCGAATCCCCAGCGCCCCGTAAAGGAGTGAGCTCCCGTTCCTTGTCCCAGCTTTCTGCCAACCTAGCAGTTCAAAAGCAGGTTAAAAAAGTGCAAGTAGAAAAATAGGAACCCCTTTGGTGGGAAGGAAACAGCGTTCTGTGCGCCTTCGGCGTTGAGTCCTGCCGGCCACAGGACCACGGAGACGCCTTCAGACAGCGCCGGCTCTTCTTCGGCTTTGTAACGGAGATGAGCAGCGCCCCCTAGAGCTGGAAACGACGAGCGCGTATTTGCGAGGGCAACCTTTACCTTAATGAAAAGAAGGACTGGGAGTGACATGATAGCGGCGTTTCAGTATCTCAGGGGCAGCCCTAAAGAAGAGGGAGTCAAACTATTCTCCAAAGCACCTGAGGGCAGGACAAGAAGCAATGGATGGAAACTGATCAAGGAGAGAAGCAACTTAGAACTAAGGAGAAATTTCCTAACCATGAGAACAATTAACCAGAGGAACAACTTGCCACTAGAAGTTGTGGATGCTCCAACATTTTTGAGGAAGAGCAACCATTAGCCTGGAATGGTCTAGGGCAGGGGTCCCCAACCACCGGTCCCCGGACCGGTACCGGTCCGTGGAACAATTTCTACCGGACCGCCGGTTTGCTGGGCGCTGCCATCTTGTTTTGATGAAAAAGTGCTTCCGGTGAGCTTTTCCGGGTAGAAAGCGGCGTTTGGGGGCTGAAAGAATCCTCGCGCCTTAGTTTCATCGAAGGGGGGGCGGTGGCTTCGAACAAAACTAAGGCGCGAGGATTCTTTCAGCACGCATGGCAAGGTGAGCCGAGCGACCGTCCCGAAGCCGTCCCGAAGCGAAGCCCATCGACACAGGTACAAAGGAGGAGTTGAAGGTGGCGGGGAGATGTGGGGGACGGCTGGCTGGCCAGTCGCTCGGCTCGCCTTGTCATGCGTGCTGATGCCAGTACCGGCCGCAGATGATTTTGTGATGCCGGTACCGGGCCGCGGCACAAAAAATGTTGGGGGCCACTGGTCTAGGGTAGTGTTGGTGAACCTTTTCGGCATCGAGTGCTGAAATGGGAGCATGGGAGCGCATGTGTACACCAGAAACTGAAAGAGCAGCATGCGTGCTCTGGGAAGCCGAGCTTCTGGTTTCTGGCGCTCAAGTGTGCATGAAGTAACTACCGGCCGACACGCACGTGCTCCCCAGAAACCGTAAGAGCAACAAGAGACGGCTGATTTGCTTGGAGAGAAGGCTCTGCATGGCACTTCCAGCATGTGTGGCAGCCATGCCCTTGTCGGAATCTGACTCTGAGGGGGAGATTGAGCAGCTGACAGGGAGTGGGAGTGTGGCTCCGGGGTGGCTGTGGAGGAAACTGGGGAAGGGCACAGCCCGGCTGGGCCTTCGGAGGAAGGCCCAGGGCTACCCCCCTCTTCATCCTAGGGCAGGCAGGGAAAAATGGAGAAGGGAGCAAGGTGGATTATGGGAGAGAAAAAGGCCCTGATCCCTTTCATTAGTTGCAACTGGGAGAACAGGATATAAATGGGGCGTTTGCATATAGCTCCTTGCTGGAAGCAAAGCGTGTATTATCTTTGTCAGGCTTATCTGGGTCTTAGCGTCCTCCCAACTGTGGGTGCTGCGTTATCTTTGAAAGTCTGCAATTTATCATCCTGGTCTGTTGTGTTAAGTGGTTTGTGTTGGGTTTTTTAAATTTCTAATTATTTTTACTTTGGGTTTAGACTGCATTTCTGCCCTTCATAGACTGTTTTTTTGAAGAGTTTGATCTCCAGCCAAGGATAATTGGACATTGGGGGCCAAGTTGGAGGCAATAAAGGGAATTTATTCTACGTTGGTGACTTTTGTTATTTTTGTGTCACACCCTGGGTCGTCACAAAGGCGTAGGTTCACCATGACGGGTCTAGGGTCTCCCGCTTCAGCAGGGGGCTGGACTAGAAAGCCTCCAGGGTCCCTTGCAACTCTGTTGTTCTGTTATTCAGTCAAGCAAGCTCTCCAGCTTACATTTCCGTGTAGATCATGCCAGCGAGTGACAGGTTGAGAAACCCCCAGACCAAAAGGACTTTTCTGGCTTCCGTTTCCTTCCTCATCTTGATGGTTCTGTCAATCAGGGACTCGGATGGATTTCGTTCCCCCTGCATTGTCTAGAAAGAACAGGAAGAGAACATAAATGGTTATTCCTTCCATTCGTATGCCGTCCCTTTGAGTACAGGTAGTCCCCGACTTACAATACATTTATTATTATTTGATAATAATTATTTGAAGCTACAACGGGATGGAAAAGTAGGGACTTAGTGTTAGGGATACACCCTAGCAGAATCTGCACGGCAGTCAGGCAGGCAGGCAAAGTATGTGAGATAAACGTTTTTGTAGCTTACACTCAGTAAAACAGATACACTGTGCTAGTAAAATAGTTTATTCCAGTAAGAGTTTTAGCATAGTCACACAGTCCATATATCATTCAGTAATTCAGTCCTTCCGGGGATTATTCAGTTGCAAAGTCCAATGTCGAAAAAGAGGTCAGTAAACTTACAAATATCAGTCCAGTAATATATCTCCTTGCAGTAGAGATATGAAGAAGTCAAACCTCCTTTCTTCCTTTGACCTTCAAAAACTCAGCAGCAGGGAACACGCAGTTAGCAAACCATCAATCCAGCAATCGTCAGCAATCCAGCAGGTTCTCTTGCTCCCTCTTATGGCAGTTTCTCAACCGCACCCAAAATTACATGCTTTGCAGTTTAAAGTGACACACACTTAAACTTACTATCATAGTTTATTTATATTATTTTACCCAAACTACATTAGGTAACCTTGTTATTCCTAACACTTAGGACTGTTTTTCACTCTTATGACCGTTACAGCCTCTCCATGATCTATTCTGACCTCAGCTTCCCCAAAAAGGACTAAGTGGACTCTTTGTCCTGGTAAAACCCCCTTTTATGAAACAAAGGTGAATTTCTTGCATTCACCTTCAGCCAAAGGCCTGGCCAACAGTCTTTCAAGGGTGTAATGAGGAGCAGCACAGACCTCATCTAGCTTGGAGAGCTCCCAAGTAAACATTCCCAAACGCAGTGCTGACAAGGAAGGACTCGGCACAGAGACTCTGAGATGCACCGACAGGTCTTCCCACGGCTGCAATGAACGAATGGTTTCCTGCAAAAGCCCCCTCCCCTTTTGCTCCTCTTTTAATCCCTATGGGAGGGGCCATTCACCATCCACCTGTGGCCTTACTCCCTTGTTCCTTAGCTGTTCCCTTCTTCTGGCAGCTCTGTGCATGCGCACGCTGGGAACAGGCTCCAGCTGTTCTTCTTCCCCACTGATCTCTGACTCCGAAGGCAGCCGATAACTGTCGGATGGCCCTGGCCCCATCTCTGCCTCGTGTTCCTTAGTTGTTCCCTTCTTCTGGCAGCTCTGCACATGTGCACACTTGGAGCAGGCTACAGCTGTTCTTCTGCCCCACTGAACTCTGAAGGCAGCTGATAACTGTCGGACGGCCCTGGCCCCATCTCTACCTCCGACGCAGAACCTTCGTCAGAGCCTTCCTCAGCCTCCAGAACTGGCCCAGGTTCCTCCCCAACTTCCTCACTCTCCGAGTCTGCTGCCAGCTCCACTAGCCAGTGGTGGGCCACAACACGATCATCGGATCAAAATTCAGATGCTTGGCAACGGACTTATAATTATGACGGTCACAGTGCCCCTGGGGTTTATAGGGATCCCCTTTTGCAACCGCCTGATCAGCCAAGCGTTGGGGGACAAAAGAGAAACAGAAGTTAGAAGAGTGACATGTTCTGTATTTACTGTAGGGAATCCTCTTAGTGACAGTTCGAAGTTACAAGAGTATTGAAAAAAGTGACTTACGATTTTTCACACTTACCACCATTGCCGCATCCCTACAATCATGTGATTTACATTCGGATGCTTGGCAATGGACTCATATTTACAATGGTTGTAGCATCCCCCGATGGGTCACATGATTCCCCTTTTGCTCCCTTCTGACAAAAAAAATCAAGGGTGAAGCCAGATTCACGTAACATTCACTTAAGAACTCTGACAAGAAAGTTCATAAAACGGGACACAATTCACTTAACTGCCTCGCTTGGCAACCAAAATTTTCAGGCTCAGTTGTGGGTCGTAAGTAGGTGAGTTACCTGTACTTCCTTTTTGTAGAAACCCTGTTTTGCATCAGATTCACTTAACAACCGGGCTACAATCGCAGCGATTCACTTCACCGCCATGTGCGAATAGGTGGCAATATAAATTTTCTAAATAACAATAAATCTATCTATATAAAAGTAAAATTCCACTCATGCATCATCACAAAATCTCCAGGACCGTACGTAAAAGCCTACAAACTTGAAATTTGGCACGTAGGTTCCTCTTGGCTTCTAATGGCTCACTAAGAAAGGATTTTTTGAAATGGCAATCAGAGCATTTAGAGTATTTCCATTATTATTATTATTATTATTATTATATTATTATTATTATTACGCTCTGATGCTAAGGAGTTCTACTCCCCTGTCCCCACCTGAAATCTCTTCCCAAATGCAAAACACAAACAGAGGAATCTCAGTCTCAGTTTCACAGCAGCAACCAACTTTAGTGCAGAACAGTTGAGCCAAGCCATGCACAGCCTCCTTACTGTCTCCTCCTTGCTCACACAGCAAATACTGTTTCAATTCCCGAACAGCCCTCAACTCACACACACACACACTGACAGGATGCTAGCCAGATGAATACCACGGATGCTGGTAGGCAGAGGCAGAATTTCAACCACCACCACCCCGCCCCTCTTATTTTCCTCCCCCCAACACTAAGCCCCACCACATAGTTTCGTAGTGGGTATCGAGCTAGTAAATAAATAAATCACCAACGTGGCGGGAATAGTTGCAAAAGTGGAGCAGCCTCACTTTAACAAACTTCATACTTCACAACATAAATCGGGCTCCATCGTGGTGGTAAGTTGAGGACTACCTGGGTTTGAGAGCGTTTCCCCTAAGTTGGGATCAACAGCGCCATCGTGAGGCTGCCCAGGGAAAAATCAATGAAATGAATGAATGAATGAATGTTATCTGAGTCAACGGGGAGGGGTTCCCTGTCCCCCCCCTCCCTCCGCACGCTCAGCCCCACAAAACCTAACCACCATTGTGCCTACCCCACATTCACACGTTGCGCGCACGAAGATGCCAGATCTGACCCAAGCGTGCCATTTCCCGCTGCAAAGGCAAAACGCGGCGGCGCGTTTAGATGACGCAGGGCAGAATCGGGAGGACGCCTTTTAAGCGCGGCGTTGGGAAACGACGCCGTGGCGCGAGGGATCCTGGGAGTCGTGGTCCAACTCCTCTCGCGGGCGCCATATTGGGAGGCGGGGCTTCACGTGGATTAGCTTCTTCAACCTCGTGGTGCCGGTCGGAGGGGGCTGCGGGGCTAGGACATTCCCCCCCACTTCTACACACATATGTCAAAACGGAGCGGAAAGAGCATGCGCACTCCCGATAACATTGGAGAAAAAAGACAATCAAGCGACCCAGCCCCCCAATTATCCCGCACCCTTCCACTCGCTTACCAGCACGGATTCGCCTTCTTTGCCCGAACTGCGCCTGCGCAGCGAGATTTTCCTTCCTTCCCCCCCACCCCACTCTTACGGGCAAGCGAGGAACGAGGACGCCGCGGCGAAGGCGGGCTTTGTGGTCGAGGCGACGGGCGCTTAAAGAGATGATTTGTGGCCGTCCTCGTGATCACCGCCGATTGGTCGAGCCTCTCTGACGTTTTGGCGGGAGAATTTGAAAGGATCAAATGCCTGCTGGGTTTGAGGCGATTTTTCTGATTTCCTCAAAAAGTTTTATGAGGCGCTGAGTTTGGGATCTTAGCTGGATTCATGGAGAGGGAGGGTTCCAAGAGGAATCCACCCTTGTGATAGATCTTCAAGGAGTAGAATGCAAGCACAAAAGAAATAAACCCTGGCTTGTCCAACCATGATAGCATTCATACAATATCTGTCAAGCCATCAATCCCAAACTGGGTTTACTCAGACATGCCTTGTCTAACCATGATAATATTCACACAGTTCTAAAGTTCTGTCAATCCAATGGTGATTTACAACAAGCTGTGTTCACAAAGGACCTTAACCCTGGCTTCTTTAACAATATCATTCAGGCCATATTGACAGCCATTGATCCAATCATTCTTATAATCACAATCTGAATTCATACAACAGGGTCTAGACCATAGCTTGTCTAACTAGGATAGCATTCACAATGTCTGACGCCATCAATCCAATCATAGTTCAACCACAAGCTGGTTCACTCAGGACCTAAACCGTGCCTTGTCTAACCATAATAGTGTTCACACAATGTCTGAATCCATCAATCCAATGATGGTTTAACCACAAGCTGGTTCACTCAGGACCTAAACTATGCAGGTCTAACCATAATAGTATTCACACACCGTCTGAAGCCATCACCCCAATCATGGTTTGTCTACAAGCCAAGTTCACTCAATTCCTAAACCATATGGCTCATCTAACCACGATAGCATTCCCACAATGTCCAAATATAGCAATCCATCCGATTCATGTTTACACATTGTGGTGGCTGGATTGTCCTAACAGGCTAAGCCCTAATTCACCCAACAGTGTTATTTATTATGACTGTGTCATCTGAATGTGACCACACCAACCCAGAAAATCTTGCGCAGCATTTTATGAGCTTGCACAAGTCCTAATATGTCACTCCCCTCTCCACAGACACACATGCATTGCCTTGTCTACCATATTTGTCCTTGATTATGAGAACATGTCCCTTCATGTTTTTTTCCAAACCCAGGGAATTATTTGCTCCTTCAGGTGACATGGATGGATATACCTTGGCACCAAAATTCCATATGACAATCAATCAATCAGAATAGAGCTGAATGGGCCCTTGGAGGTCTCCTAGTCCGATTCCTTGCTCACGCCGGAGACCCGATCCCATTTCAGATAGGTGGCCATCCAGTCTCTTCTTAAAAATGGAACACCCACACCTTCTGAAGTTTAATTGTTCTATCTTCCGGTTAATTGTTCTTCCTGTTAGGAAGTTTCTCCTTAATTCCAGGTTGCTTCTCTCCTTGATTAGTTTCCACCCATGGTTTCCTTTTGACAATGATGTTATCCATTTAGTTGCATCCAACTCTTGATGATCCTATAGACCAGGTATTTCCATGTCTTTTGATCTTGCAATGCTTCTTTGAGTTGTTTTCTGCTCTGGCTGGTGTCAGCTTTGATGGCGTCCGGCCACAATGTTCCTTGCCGACCTTGGTTTCCTTTGACCACTAACTCTTCCAGGCAAAATTGCTTTCTCCAGTGAATTCCTCTGCATGATGTGGCCAAAATAAGTTGAGACGCAATTTTAGTGATTTTGCCGTCCAATAATATGTCTGGTGTTAAGCATTCCAGAGCTTGCTTGTAATCCCCTTGGCTGTCCAAGGAATATGCGGGAGTCTTCAACAGCACCAACAGCTCAAATGATTTTCTTCTTGTCTTCCTTTCTTAAGGTCCAACTTTCACAACCATAGGTAGCTACCAAGAACATAATGTGGGCTAACGTGTATTTTGGCTGCCAGGCTGAAGTCCTTTGTTTTCCAGCAATCATGCAACAATCCATATGCAACAATTTGTTTGTAAAGTGCATTCTTCACTTCCAAAATTGCTACAAGATGTGATGGCCACTAAGATGGGCATTTTAAGAGGAGATTGAATACATTAATTGGTGACAGGCCCCACAGTATTACCGTACTTTTAGATTGGGGCCAGCCAAACTTCAACTATAGGAGAACAACCGTAGGAGAGAAATGGATCTCCATCTTCTTGCGAACATCTGCAGGTATCAAGTAAGGAGAAACCAAACCTGAACTAGGATAGGTGTTGGCCTGATCCAACAAACCTGTTCCTAGGTTTTCTGACAATGTTGTGGGCCATCATCTTGGACAGCTTGTAACTAGAGATGGGATAAATTCATGAAAGAACAGTCAATTGGGCCTTGAAGACTCCATACTAGGTCTAGGTTGCGGGTATCATGTCTCCAAATAGCAGCTGTAGAAGACCAACAGTGGAAGAGAGAGATGGGTCTCCATCTCCTGGTTGAGAACATCTCAAAAACCCCTGTGAAAAAGCAGATTTATAGATTAACAGAGTTGGAAGGGACCTTGTAGGTCATCTAGTCCAACCCTCCATCTACACCACAACTTCCGAAGGCAACTTCTGTTCCATTAGTTGATTGCTCTCATTGTCAGAAAATTCTTCCTTATTTCTAAGTTGAATCTCTCCTTGATCAATTTCCATCCATTATTCCTTATCTAGCCTTCAGGTGCCTTGGAGAATAGCTTGACCCTCTTCCTCCTCTCTGGGGCAGCCCCTCAAATATTGGAAGACTGCTATTCTGTCTCCCCTGGTCCTTCTCTTCACCAGACTAGCCAGGCCCAGTTCCTGCAACCATTCTTCGTATGCTTTAGTCTCCGGTCCCCTAATCATCCTGGTTGCTCTTCTCTGTACTCTTTCCAGAGTCTCAACCTCTTTTTTATAGTGTGGTGACCAAACCTGGATGCAGGACTCTAGGTGCAGTCTTACTAAGGCTTTATAGAATGGCATTAGTACCTGACTTGATCTTGATTGTATCCTTCTGTTAATGCAACTTAGGGTTGCATTGGCTTTTTTGGCTGCTGATGCACATTGCTGGCTCCTTAGTTGGACAACTTAGCTGGACAACTTTAGCTGGTTGTCCACTAAGACTCCAAGGATCCCTCTCACAGTTACTGCTACCCAGCAGGATCTTGACCTGTTCCAGCAATGGTAATCTTCTGATAACCAACAAGTTCATTACAGCATCACAAAACACAGCAAGTCCATTACAGACTCCAAAAGTTAGACAGGCTATTCCAAGAAAGCTTGGTGGTCTCCACAGTTACAAGAATGCTCCAGAACCAAGGTTCTAGGTCTTGCGGATCACAGCTTGGGAAACTGGGTGTGTCAACACAATCCGTTGCTTGGCCACTGGACCGCTTGCTGCCTTGGTTCTCATCTTCTTGGGAGCCTTTATTTGACATTTTCTGCAAAGCAAGATTTTTCTCTGATGGCTTTTCCTTTTCTTTATTCCTGGTGGCATTATTCCGACAAAGGGCATATGGTCTCCGACCCCCGCAAGGAAATCCCTTGTGAGGAGGAAGAGGAGGAAGATGAAGAAATTTGTTGGTTCCTGGGAGAGATGCTGCTTTTTTACTGTTTGGCTGTCCTCGTTCTAAAACTCGGTTCCCTCGGGGCAAAGAGGGTAAGAGTTGGTGATTCGTTGTATTGTGTTATTTGAGGAGAGGACCTCAAGCGATTAAAAAAAAAAAAAAACTTCCTTGAAACAGCTCGGCTGTGTTATGCCCATAACAGACAACCAAAACATCCAAAAAGATTCATGCAACCAGTCCTCAAAAGCTAAAATCTGCTGGTATGGTTGCAGGAACCTACAGATAGACTGCTCCTGCATGTGAAGCCTTATGTGATGACGCAACGGGGCATGACACAAAGGCAACCCAGTCAGATAATCAGTAGAGTCCTTTTATTAGCTCCAACTTTTTCCCCAATGTCCTGGTTACCTTCTGGCTGGAGAAAACCTCTCCCAGGAACAGCCTTTGGCTGCAGGGAATCAAGTCTAAAACGTGGTCAACAAAAACTGTAACTATAAGTCCAATCAAGGCAAGATGAGGTAATTGGTCCAGCAGGGCAGGAGAAGGAATTCCAGATGTGAAGGCGTGGCAAAACTCACATGGTTGGGAAGACACCAGGAACACAGATAACCAAAGTCAACACAAGATAAACTCACGGTTGCTCCCAGCAGCCGCTGCATTCAGCATGCATTTCTTTTAAACTCTCATTCCCAGCTGTGGCTAATGAAGGGGATCAGGGCCTTTTCCTCCCCTGTAAGCCACACAACCCACGTTGCTCCCTTCTCCATTCCTCCCTGCGTGCCCTAAGATGAAGAGGGGGTGGGCCTGGGTCTTCCTCTGAACTCCCTCTCCCTTGTTCAACCCTCCCCTGCTCTGCCCAGCCGGGCTTTGCCCTTCCCCAGTTTCCTCCACAGCCAACGGAGCCACACTCCCACTCCTTGTCAGCTGTTCATCTTCCTCCTCGGATTCAGACTCTGACAGGGGCATGACACCTCCTCGTGATAAGATGAAAACAATACAGATAGTTCTGGACTTAC